CTATCTGTCTTCTCTTATAAGGAATCACTGTCTCTATTACATTTCTTATTTGCTGAAAATGCCATCTACCTCATTTTGCTGCCAGTTTGGATAAGCATAAAGAATAAAAGATTATTATATAAGTAAACTACAATAAGCATAGTTGAAAGATTAAGTGTAAGAATCATGAAGTGTATGATGCTAATATCAACTATTTTTATTCTTGATTATGCTATTCATTATGCTCAATAATATGGATGCTGGAAATATAATTGCACTATGTGATAAATAAATCTGATATATTTCTGTAAAATGAACTAATGTTTTAAAAGAAAAGGCTAAACTGCCTTATACATTTAGCAATGTAATTCATGTTATTGCTTTTGACTATTTCATTAAAAAATAGAGATAATGTCACTATTTTCATTATCTGAAATGCAAGTATTTGAAAATAAAACAAACTGGAGCAGAGGCACTAATTTAACAGGTACCCAAAGCTTATTTGAATTATCTGCTAATAATTGAACCCAAGGTTGGAATTAAAATTATCTATTAAACACAACTTTTGAGTTTATTGTTTCAAGAAGTGAACTGTCTAGATTGGACAATAATGAAAATCATGTGCTTAGAAATTTGATAATAGTAGGCAACATTCCATTTGACTAATGCTGACTACTTTTTGTAACTAAAGCTTTGAAGAAAAGAATATGTTTATATGTATGTGTGTGTATATATAATGAAATTATTTTAACAGGGAAAAAATGCTCAGTACAAGATAATTATTCCTAATAAGACTAATACACTCTAATTACAATGCTTATTTTTCACTTTGTTTTGTACTTTGTCATATATATATTGTAATATATACATACATTTATAGATGTGTATCTATAGATTATATACACACACATTTGCTTCACTTCTGTGATGAAATGTTTAAAGTAGTATAACCTTGGGCAAGTAGAAGAATCTGCAGGTTATACTACTTTAAGTGTCAATTGCAATATTTAGCGCTGAAGCTTTGAAGCAATATTTAGTTCTGACCACTTGAGACCAGAAACAAACAAAGCAACCCTTTTGTTTTGTCCAGCTTTATGTTTCATTTCAGTTATAAAGAGAGAATTTCACTGATGACCGCGTGGGTAAAATTGGCCTTTGTTAATGAAAAATAGAAGTTTGAGCTTTCTCACCAGAGGCCATTGCTTCTGGAGAGGATCCCAGTTACTATTTCATGTTACCGTTTTACCATCTCAGCTGTAGTCAGGAAGCCACCATTGCAACTTCTTGGTGGTCTTACCTGTTGTCTCCTAAGCTTCTGAATAACCATTAGATTAGTACAAATGGCTTAAAAGGAAAAAGGACTTTTCTTCAGTAGTGAACTGCAGTTGAGGAAGATAAGTAGTGAGCTCCCGCCAGATTTAGGGAAAGGGCAAAAAAAAAAAAATTTAAAGGGTACAGTAGGTATAAAAACAACCCCTATGGAGTTAGACTGAGGACTAGGGGCTGCTTTCAGAAAACTAAATGAAAACAAAGAAACATAAGAGAAAGTGGGCTGATGTTGGGGAGGTGGTAGGAGCAGGAATAAACCTGTGAGCTTTTTAATGAAAAAACCTGTGAGCTTTTTAATTAATGAATTAAACACCTCAAAATTTAATAAAGTTGTTGAATGAATAAATGAATAAACTGTGGTATATCCAGACAATGCAGTGTCATTCAGTGATAAAAAGAAATGAGCTACAGGTCATAAGAAGACTTGGAGGAAACGTAAATGCGTATTTATAAGAGAAAAAAGTCAGTCTAAATAGCCAGTATGTATGATTGCAACTCTATGACACTACGGGAAAGGCTAAGCTGGCAAGCAAATAAAAGCTTCTAAGGTTGGTGGGAGAGCAGAGATAAACAGAGTAGAAATATTTTAGGGCAGTGAAACTTCTCTCAAAGATACTATAATGGTGGACACATGTCATTATACACTTGTCCAAACTCATAGAATATACAACAAAAAAAAAGAACGCTAATGTATATTGTAGAGATTGGATAGTAAGGAGGTGTCAATGTATTTTAAGCAATTGTAACTAATGTATTACTACTTTGGTGGGAAATGTTGGTAGTGGAGAAGAATATGCATGTGTGGTAAGTAATAACTTTATAAACGAAAGTAGAATTAATGTGAAACATAGAGCAGTATCTGAAGCAAGCAAGACTTTAGTAAAGAAAATGTAGGAAGGATATCAAGCAGTGTTCAAATCTCTGTACAGTCTCAATTTTGTTGTGAGCCTCAAACTTTTTTAAAAAGAATAAGGTATTTAAAAAACCAAATTCTGTTCTACAGTTTTCTTTTTGCCAAGTAATAAAAGATCTGTGACATTTTATCTTCTTCTTCAGTGCACTCTATAAATCATTGGAAGAGGATTCTATTTTACCTCTCAAATTTGGCTGCTATTGTACTTGAAGAAGAGTTGATTAGTCCTTCAATATATAGATGGAATATATGCCCATATTTCTTTTATATAAGCTTTGAGCTATTGAAATATATAACTGTGACATAATTAAATATGTGATACAGCCTTAAATATTCAGTTAACCATATTTTACGTAATTAATACATGATACAGCTTTAAATGTTTAGTTAACAGTATTTCATAAAAATGGAAACTATTACTTATTTTTCCAATCAAAAATAATTTTAGTACAGTAGCATATTCCTTCAAAAAAGTGATGCTAAATACAAACTATTTGTGTATGCTTATGTTCAATCTGTACATTATACACAGAAAAGATAAAACTATGTGGTCTTTACATACTCAATTGTTTGTGTTCAGTGTGATGAAAGCTGATAATTAAACACCATGTTCCTTAGTTGTATGTACAAACAAATGATTGGGCCATGTTTTCAATAAGTGAAGAGCTATACTATATTTGGACTTCTTTCAAATAAATGTCACAGCATGTTCTTTTCTTTCTTTTTTGTTTTGTTCAGAATTTTTGTATAAAAGAGTTAAATCAAGCTGATTAAATCATTTCAATACCACAAGGGGAAACCTTGGAAAAGAGGATTAGCTCATCAGCAGGATGAGTTAGGTCATGGATTATCCAACCGTAATTCAAGTGCTGTGTTCTCCATGTCTGAAAGTTATGGTCATGTCAAGGGTCAGCGCCAAATTTTGTTTTATCATAAGTTGGAACTGCTTATTCCTGCAGCTGGCTAAGCTTTAGTGGGCTAGTTTCAATTATTTTGGTCATTTTTTTTTTTGAAGCTCAGGATTTTCTTTAATTCCCTGCCTTCTTTGGTTCATAAATAACTATTAGTTTGTGTTACATATACATTAATACTTCTATTAAGAGGGAAATTCCATGTATATCTCTGTTGATAATTTTATAAACAGGGGTAGAATTACTGTAAAACATGAAGACACATTTGAAATAAGTAAGACTTCATTTAAGAAAGAAAGGATGGAAAGATACCAAGCAGTGTTTTTTCAAACTGTGATTTTTGATCTGTTCGTGGCTAGTAAATTCAATTTAGATGTCTTTGAGAAAAATTCTAAGAATAGAACAGAATAGGAGTAGGTTAATATAGAAAAGAAAATATCTGGGCAAGTTTCAATTCCACTAGTGACTGTGTGTGCATATGCATGTGTGTGCTGCATTAAGATGTAAATTATATTTCTTACATGTTTATGATTGATTTTGAACAAAAATAGCTTGTCAGCTACCCATGTAGAAACAAAAAGATGGACTTGTCTTGCTGGCTGTGAAACTCTGAAAAATTACAATCTCTAAGACTGTTTCTAGTCTGTAAAATGGGAATTATGCACCATAGCTCACAGGGTTCATGTAAGAGTAATGTGAGATAGTATGTGTTAAAGCTCCAACCATGATTCCAGCCACATATTAGGCACTCAGTGAATAGTTGCCTTTATTAGTGACAACATCACCCATGATAAAACTAATGAGACTTTTCACAGCACATTGAATTACATGCCTGGGTATCTTGAGATGGCTTTAAGAGATGATGGGTATTCGCGGAAAGTTACAAATTGAAAAACTAGACTAGAGTGAGAGATATGCGGCCAGGTGGATCTGTGCTAAGGACAGGCTTTCAGTACTGTATTTGGTTCAAATTATTCCCTACAGTAGCTCCTGGTTGATTTGGAATCTAGTAGCTGTTCAACCGATTAGATATTTCTCCCAAATACCTCTTCAACTGCCATATGTACCTCAAGGGATAATTGGAGTTTACCTTCAGGCCTTGTTAGATACACACAATCTGACTTCAGCGGCTTCTGGGTAAGATGGAACTAACAAGTTACTGTGAATGTGTTTCAGTTAGATTATTACCGGACAGGTAATAAGCAACCTATACCCTTGACATAGAACAGACAAAGATAATGAGTTTCAGAAATAAAGTGAGAACCATTTCAAAATCAAACTACTCACATGTTTTGACCCCTCTAACATCCATCATATTTATCCAGAGTTTTGCTTACGTTCTCTTTATTCTTACTCATGGGCAGATCCCTTGATAGTTAGAAAGGATGTCTTCTTCATGGTACTGACAAATATTTAAAACAAATACATGACTTTATGAATGGATGATTACTTGTTATCAATAGGGAAATTATATTATGAAAGACTCACATTTTTTCTTTAGTTTGTGAAAAGACCATTTTAAATATCTTCTCAACTGATTTATAGCTGTCACTGCTGATAGCAGAGAACGGTGGAAAGGAAAGAGGGTCTTCACGCACTCAAATGTGTACCAACTCACCTAGGGCAATATTATTTTGACCCTAATACCCTCCAGTGGGTGACAGAGGAGTGCCATGTATGTGGATCCCAAAGAATTCGCCTTCATTTACAGCAGCCATAGGCTATGTCCAGAGAATGTGGTTATTCTACACCTAAAAGAGATACGTTTCTCTGTAGCCTGTGTTTTTCTTTTCATTTTCTTAATTTGTTTTCTGTTTGAGATCACTTTAAATAATTAACAAAATATAAAGACAATTTTTTTTTTCCAGGTCTGAGAATGAATAAAGGTGCCGTCACCCCTCCTCGGACTTCTCCTGCAAATACATGTTCCCCAGAAGTAATCCACCTGAAGGACATTGTCTGTTACTTGTCTCTGCTTGAAAGAGGAAGACCTGAGGATAAACTTGAGTGTATGTGTTTTTTCATTTTGTTTACTTATCATGGTTGGGGGCAAGAGAAAGGACTGGAAATTGATTAACTTAAAATTGCACTAGTACGGTTGTATAATTTTTGTTAAATAAAGCGGCCCTGCTTAATAGTAAAAATTTCTTCCAACTGAGAATCAGACAATTAAAAGATAGTAAGATCTTTTTCTTTCAGATTCTTATTTATCAAGTTCCATTTATGACTGATTATTTTTTGATTATGTTTATCATATGACTTTAAAAACTGTTCCTCAGTTCTTTAGAGTTAACAAGATGCTATTAGAAAGAATCTTTTGAGTTGTTTTCATAAAGTATTTATTTATAGTGTGTGAAGAAGCATTCCTAGTATTGAGCAAGAAAATTGCCTATAAACGTGCAACCTGCACCATTTCCCCAGTGGAAATCTCCCTTGCAGTCTTCAGCACTAACACTCTTATTAGCAGAGACATGATTTCTCAAATGCTGAACCTGAGAACGGCATTTATAGTATTTGATTCTGGGTATCATAAATAATTAAACAATAGCTTTGTTTCTTTTAGGATATGGTAGGTAGAGAATTTCTTTTCAGTTGAAAGGAAATAATTCCTCTCTTTAATAAAGCAGTGACTGAGCTCTCTCTGGTGGCAAACTGTACACACTGCAATACAAGAAAATATTTTTCAAGCATTTACTCTAAATCTGATCATTTGCTTGTCTATTCTATCTCTGAAGCCCTTTCTAAATATAGTTCTGGCAACTTACTCAATAATCTGATAAATTTGAGTACATAAGATACATTAAAATTAATTAAAAATTCTTGCTACTAGAATGATAGTGATAATAAATTCAAACTTTAATATTTCTAAAGCAAATATAAATTGTCATGATGTCTCAGAATTATGAGGCATTTTTACTAAAATTTAATAGTAACTTTTTGATAACATTTCTTCTATCAATAAAGGATTTACTGTAATGTGATTATTTAAGAGTCCCACCTGCTTAGGTTATAAATAAACCATATGAATATCATTCTTTAAATATATATTTATTATTCATAAAGGTTGAATATTTGCAATTCAGGATTTATTTTGTATTCCTAAGAACTTACAGAAATCTGTCTCATTCCAAAGTAAATATTACTGTTCAGTGAATTTCTATTGAAGTGATAGCCAGAGAGAAAGTTTGCTCAGGTGTTATCAGGAGCACGTTGGGGTGATTATAAACATATAAAGACAAACATTTTTTCCGCATCTGAAAATGAATAAAGGCACCATCCATCCTCCCTAAGATGGCATTTGGTCTTGCAGTTTAACCATTTCTAGGTCAACTGGAAGTATGTTGCTTTTAAGAAGAAGGCTTTTGAGTTTTCAGTTTGCATTGTTGAACCCAGATAGATTTTGTCTACAGTTGCCGATAGAATGTTAACTCACCACACTATTCAAAAACACAGGGGGAATCTCATCCAATTGACCTGCCATTTACTTTTCTTTAGTGCTATCAATCCCCTTCTCTCTGTTCTGTTTTTTTTTTTTTTTTTTTTTTTAAGTTTCCCAGCTTTTTTCCAAGCTTCCACTGGATGCATTGCATTTCCTTTTCCTTAACCATTTCTTCAGACTCTTCTTATAGGCAGTCTGGTTATGGCCCAGCATTATCACTACAATTTTCACCAAACTCTTCAAAGTACATGATGCTATAGGTCTCTTTTCTACTATCCTCTAATCTGTGGATTCTTACTGAGAATACATCAGAATCATCCCAAGTTTGGATGATTTTTTTTTCTTTCTTTTTCTTTTTTAATGCCAGTACCAGGCCCTTTACCAAGTCAATTAAATAACAATCCATCTTCCTCATCTACTTTCTTAACAATTTGCTATATATTTTTATCCTTCTAAAATTGCATATGTAAAAATTACAAACATGTATTCTTATACAGTTATAGATTTAAAAAAAAAATTCTCAGTAGGACCTCAAAAATGTGTATTGGTGGTTAGTTTAATATATACTTACTCCAAAAGGGTTATAACTTATTAAATGCAGTATAGAGCAGAAGAATGAAAAGAATAAAAAGCAGTTCTAATTATCACAAAAATAGGTGTGAACAAGCACCTAAAATTAAGTTTTGCAGGTTAATGTTGAATTTGGCTCTTAGTTCCAGGTGGCTAAGCAGAAAGAAATACACACATTGATTAAGGTTAGAAGTTCTCAAACTTTATCACATATCAGAATCAACTGCAGGACTGGGATATATGATTCAACTGGCCTGGGATGGGACCTGAAAATGTGCATTTCTAACAAGCTTCCAGGTTATGCTGATGCCATTATTCCAGGTACCACATTTTGAGAAGCACTGGCTTATGCAATTTCATCTGTCCAGTAAAAACACAGAGACACAAAGAATTCACCTGAAATGACAGTTGTTTTTCTTGGAATTGATGAATTGTGGCAGTATTTGTTAGGTGCTTTTGCCTGGGTTACTAAATGAAAACATTACACTGTTGTCAGTGTTTACATAAGTAGTACTTTGTTTCCCCAAAATAAAGTTTTTAAAATCTATTCATTGCCTCCTACCATTTTCCATTGCGTGTCTTTTCTGCCAGGCATTTACACAATGTTTATCATAAAGCTTATTCCATTTAAAAACAAAACAAAACTAACAAATGAAAGTTCCTGAATGTTTTACTGATCACAGGAAGTCGTCACTTAACATCCTCAATAGGTTTTTGGAAGCTGTGACTTTAAGTGGACCAATGTACATAATAAAGCCAGTTTTTTTGCTCATCAGTGTTATAACCAAATGTCATGGAAGGAAAGGATTGTTATTCGAGAAACCTCTGTACATTGTTTTGCTTGAAGTCAAAACTTCCCAGTATCTAGCAACCAGATTGAGAACTTACCATATAAGCCATGTCTTCAGCTTTATTTCCTTTACCCAATTCTTCTCTCTGAGGACCTTGCCTGTCCCCAGGCTCTGTCAGGTAGGTGTTTGTTGCCTTTGGATGTGTGCTTTTGCATGCATGCGTGCATGTGGGTGTGTGTATGTGCACATGTGCGTGTGTGTGTGGGGGGTGTGTGTGGGTCTGTGTGGGGGTGGTGGGGTGTGTGTGTGTGTGTGTGTGTGTGTTGAGGTTGTGGAGAATTCCATTTTTATCTCTCCTTGTTGGTACCATTTACCAACCACCTCTGTGAGTGAACGAGGACATGGTGTCAGGACTGATTTGCCCTTCTATCCTCAAGTGCTCCATAGAACTTTATGCAGAGCCATAAACCATTCTTAGTCTTCCCTCAGATTCTCTGACTTTGTCTCCATTTTTCAGTCCTTCAATCCTGTTGCAATACTCCAAGACTCGTAACTGTCAAGAACTGCTATTATTCTAAAACTAAACTGTCAATTTTACTTTAACCCCAGCCTGTGTTCATTTAACTTCTCACTCAAACTTTTTAATTGTAGCATAGTATAGTAATTAAGAACCTTGGCTCATAATTTATAATGATTGAATGCAAACCCTAGGTTGAGAATTAACTGTCTCAGTGATCTGAGTACATTTTTAAAACTTCCTCAGGACTCAAGTTTTCTCAGCTGTAAAATTGGGATTATTAAATAGTCTCCATTCCATAGGATAACTATGAGGATTAGATAAACGAATAGTTGGTCCCATACATTCCTTCACATTTATTAGTTCATGTAAATGTTTGTTAAGTAAAATAAAAATCAATTAAAATTGTTTTACCATTGACCACTCTGCTCCCTCTTGAATTTGCCTGCTGACTTTTGGTTGCCTGTCCTTTCAAATTTGAACTAATCTCATAATCCATGATGTCAATTAGTTTATCATACTTAATTTCAGACATTCAACTTATTTGCTCCTATACTGAGTGGTAGAGACTTCGTAAAATAAAAGTATAATTCCATGGATTATAGCTCTACTCAAAACGTTAGCTGGCCTTCAGTGCCCAGTGTTTCTCTCCTATACTTTTCTGTTTAAAAGTTAATCCAGATGTTTTTTACCCCCCAACACCTACCTATTTAATAATCATCTTATTCATTAAGTGTACATTCTTTTAACTGTTTTATTGTAATTAAAACCTTATTAACTAATATTTGTTTTCTGTCTCTCTTTTGATTCAGAATGAAAAAGTATGGTTTTGATAGTTCCCGATTTCATAATGCACAAAATTGAAATCCTTAACTTGGCATGCATACACTGATCTGACTCCGCAGTTTGACCCCGACCTACTCTGCCAGGCTTGCTTTGGCTGTGACCAGCAGACACATGAGCAAACCATGTCCTAGTCACGTGGGTCAACTGTTCGATCATCTGACAAACGCTGAACCTGTCCATGTTCATGCCTTTGATTGCAACGTGCAATTGCTGGGTTTTACCCCCGCCCCCACCCCCACCTCCCCAGTGTATATTTGACAGAGTCCAGTCCCCATTTGAGGATCATCCTGCACCATGAATCCCTTTGCCGTCTCCTAATTGGATTTATTTTGCTCTCTTTTGTACCTATACACCTCCATCAGTGTGTGTGTGTGTGTGTGTGTTTCAGCAGGTAGATGCTCAGTAAATGATAGTGAAATGGAACTGTATTAAAGTCAATGGGTGAAAACACCAATGAGTGCTTGAAAAGCTAAAAATAATGCCAATTATTTAAGATATCAAATGATACGATGTATTTTTAACTTTAAAATAGACGATACTCGCATTTGAATTTGTGCTTATCAAGTTATTAATGATGTAACAAGAATATTTTTATATTATCTTACATTTCCTTAAAATATATCACTAATGTGAAAATCAGTAGGAAGATATTCAGAAAGTAGATAGATGACATATAGATACTGAACATAACCTACATGTTAAAAGCTGCTTCCCTGTGCAGTATTAACCTTAGCAGCATTGAAATTTAATGATGAAGAGACCTTAAAGATCACCTAGTCAACTTTCCTATAGTTTGTAGTTTGTCAATGGAAAAAAAAAGACCAAGAGAGGGTGATGATTAATTAC